AGGGCTCCGTGAGCTGCACTTTAACTGTAAAAGAGCTGCATTTGGCTCTCGAGCTGTGGTTTGGCCTCCCCTGATCTATGGTGCTGAGGCGTATGGTCTCATTGTTTCCTTTTACTCCCCTCTCTGTATCTGTTTATCATTTCTTATCTTATACTTAAATTATTAGCAGTGTGGGGGCAGTGACTGTCTTTTGTTCTGTGTTTGTACAGGGCTAGCACAATAGGGTCCTGATCCAGGGCCCTTAGGGACTATAGTAATGCAAACAACAAATAATAATATTTGGGGGCATGTGATCTGTTGGGAGGAGGTGCTGGCAGCCCTGCATGGCATCTGTCAAAAGGGTTCACACAGGGACATGTCTTTTGAAGAAGGGAGAAGGGCAGGTTAAGGGCTAGCAGCCTCATAGGCTATGAGCTGCAGACAACTTCTTCCCAGCCTTTGAGATGCTATATTTAGAGCCCTGCATGGATACAAAATTTGTGTCAGCATCCAAACCATGATCCGCAAAAACTGTCTGGATGCAGATATCCATAGATTTCAAGGGCTCTAGCAATAAGCCTACTTGAAGATGTCTGAAATATTCTGTTTATTTTTACATTTCCTTTTAATAAATGGTTTCATATCTAAGCTGTTTAGTGGAACAGATGACTATCTGTCTGGAAGATCTGTTCTACTCTTGAGTTCTTTCTCTCTTGTATGATTATAGTTCAGAGAAGCCTAACTGGGATTACCATGCAGAGATACAGGCTTTTAGCCACCGACTACAGGAAACCTTTTCCTTGGACCTCCTCAAAACTGCATTTGTTAATTCTTGTTATATTAAAAGTGAGGAGACCAGACACCAAGAACTTGGGCTAGGCAAAGAAGCGGTTGCCCTCAATCTCCAGGATAATCACAAACTTTCCGAACAAGGGGTATCTCTTTCACGCTCTTACCTCACTCAGTGCTTTGAAGATGCTTATCCAAAGATGCCCTCTGAAGGGATACGAGCCCTCGTTGATTTTCTCACGAGCCAGGAACTTGTGTCTTATGTGGCCAGAAACCTATCCATACAGGATTTAACACTTTGTGCAGAGTTTCCTGTCCCACCCAGTGTGCTGCAGCAGACTTTCTTTGCTGTAATAGGGGCATTGTTTGAAAGCAGTGGGCCGCAGAAAACAGGGATATTTATCAGGGTAAGTACTATTATTTTTATTTCTTTGGCACCTCTCTATGGCTGTAGTGGGATCCCAGTATCAAATTATAAGACCAAAAATAAAAATAATTAAATAGTAGCTTATCTCTGACAGCCAGCAAAAGCCAGACCCCCTACAAACTTATTTCCCACATTCAGGTCTAACTGATATGCATATATGCAAGAGCTAGGAGAAATACTCCACTTAAGGACGGAACCATCTGTTGTGCACATACAAAATGGGAAATGACTGCCTAGGAAAGGGTACTGCAGAAAGGGATCTGGAGGTCATAGTGGATTAAAAGCTAAATATGAGTCAGTATAACACTTGCAAAAAAAGCCAAACAGCATTCTGGGATGTATTAGCAAGAATTTGGTAAGCAAGACATGAGAAGTAATTCTTTCATTCTACTCTACGCTGATTAGGCCCTCAACTGGAGTATTTTGTCCAATTCTGGACACCACATTTCAGGAAAGATGTGGACAAATTGGAGAAAGTCCAGAGAAGGACAACAAAAATAATTAAAGGTCTAGAAAACATGACCTATGAGGGAAGATTGAAAAAACGGAGTTTGTTTAGTCTGGAGAAGAGAAGACTGAGAGGGGACATAAGTTTTCAAGTACATAAAAGGTTGTTCAAAGGAGGAGGGAGAAAAATTGATCTCCTTAACCTCTGAGGATAGGAAAAGAAGCAATGGGCTTAAATTACAGCAAGGGCGGTTTAGGTTGGACATTACGAAATACTTCCTAACTGTCAGGGTAGTTAAGCACTGGAATAAATTGCCTACGGAGGTTGTGGAATCTCCATCATTGAAGATTTTTAGGAGCAGGATAGACAAACACCTGTCAGGGATGGTCTAGATCAGTGGTCCCCAACTCGGTGCCCGCGGGTGCCATGGCGCCCACCTACTGGCTGCCGGACAAACAGCCGCCAGGAAGCGGCAACGTCAAGAAGCGTTACCGCCGAAATGCTGCTGTTTTTTGGCGGCGACGCCTCTTGGCGGCATTTCTGCAGCTGCTTGTCCGGTGGCCACGCTCCTTGGCGGCTAGTCATCCAGCGCCCACCACATGGAAAGCTTGGGGACCACTGATCTAGATAATACATAGCCCTGCCATGGTGCAGGGGACTGAACTAGATGACCTAGAAGTCCCTTCCAGTCCTATGATTCTACTTTACCTAAGCCAACCTCTACTTTTCAAGGAATAGCAACTTACTTATTTATTTAAGTAGCACTATTTGCTTTTGGTCTGATTTGTTAGATATTTCATGGCTGAATCAGTGGCTACAGTATAACTTTTTAAACAGTTATTTGATGGTTAGTACAGTCATGAAACTGTTCCAGAAAAACTCTGCAGTTTCTTAACATTATGCATAGAAAGTCAAATCAGTTCAGAGATTTGTTAACAAGAGTCTCTCTGGAATCGAACATCGAAAGGTTTCTTATTAAAATATATTGTGAGAAGGAAATCATTTTAGCAGTTGCTATCCTTCCAGTTTATGCCATTTACTTACTTCTATTTTGTATCAGAGAAATGTCAGCTAAGAGACATAATATGGAACAACCAAAACCATGTTACTTCTGCTGCATGGCATTCAGATATGTCTGTAGGAAAAAGCAACTATTTAGAAAATTCTGTCTCATTGTTTAAGGGATCATGAATTTCATTCAAAATATCTTGTAATACATTTCTGTATTGGATTTTCTACCACAACTCTGTAGTTAGTTAGCACTTACAAAGCACTCAGTACTGCGTAGCTAATCCCCACATCATCCCTGGAATGCAGGTGGTGGTATTCCCATTTTATAATTGGGGGAATAACAGGGAGAGAGAGATTAAGTGACCTTGCCCAAGCCAAGCAGCAAGTCAATGGCAGAGTCAAGCCTAAAGTTCCAGGGCTTGGGTACGCTAGCTAGCTTTATAGCCATGATTCAGCATTGGTTCTATTTCTCCAGTGGTAGCAATGGTAGAAGCTGCAGTGTTCAGAGGACTTGAACATGAATTTTTTCCACTGTTGTCTAAACCACCCAAGTCCTGTCTATACTACAGCATCCACTGTCGCTGTCACCAGTGGTGAACTGGAGCTACAAGATATGCTAATTTAGTTGCGGCCTAGGAATTTCAGCTTGTACTGCCTTTCAGTACAGAACAACAGGCAGCAGGCTAATTGGAGGGTAGTGGAAGCCCTGCTGGTCTCATAACTATGTTAAGAATTAATTTTTTGTAGTTATCCTTCTTAATGCTATTATTTAGCAAAATATTTGAAGAGAAACAAAAAGTGAAGTGTCTTTAATCTTTTTGCAAAACAGTTTGTAAAGACTATTTTAATGTTAAGTCCTAGCAATTTGAATGTCTCAGATGGTGAGAGGTCTCATTGTAGTTCTCAACCATCCTATATAAGCCCTGAGTAGCACTTTCAATATTTGTGATTTTAATCTGGATTTTGTGAAGGCTTTTATTTTCCAGGTGGCCTGATTCCAGTTCTCCCTTTAATTAGAATCCCTTATATGGCAGTGATATTTAGCCTTGGGTGGTTTCTTAATGTAATTTTGAATAAAGGAGTGACCCAGCTAAAAGTGAATTAAAATCTAAAGTGCCTCACAAGCACAGAGCAGTCAAAGTACCATTTATTTCAGAAATGTACATTTAGAAAACGCAAAATATCCCTACAGGTTCGTTCATAAGAATTCTGTAGGAACTATAGCTAGGGAGTTACATGAGTATGTATTTTGGCACATGGGTTGGCACCAGATCCACTGAGCTGTGTTGTCTTTCACTATAAGAATGCATGGGAGACTCTGGTACCATAAAAATTCATCAACCTTAATTTAAAGGCACACTGCACATAGCGAAGCTAGCAACTTACTGTTAACTGCTCCTCTCCTCCCTTCCCCCTTATATTACTTTTGTTGGCAGGGACACCAGAGCATTCATTCCCCTTCCTTTCTGATAATTGTAATGTTTTTGTCCAGGACTTCTTAATTCCTCAGCTGATTGGAAAAGACCTTTTTGAGATCTGGGATGTTATAAACCCAATGGGTTTGCTAGTGGAGGAACTGGCCAAGAGGAATATGTCTCCTCCAGAACCAAGACTTACCAGGCAGTCAGGAGCCAGTACAGTTCTTCCACTGTACTTTGTTGGATTGTACTGGTTAGTAAAACGTTCATCTGAAGTCAAACGGATTCCAGTTTTGGGGGGAGGGAGGAAGGAAATGGTCTGTTTTTCACAAGTAAAAATAATTTTAGAAGAAAGATGCAATTTATGCAATGGACTTTTATATAAACGTTTGAGGATTGACATGTTTTTTCTCATACAGATGTATAAAGAGACAGTCCCTGTCTCAAGGAGTTTATAATTTAGTATAGACATATGCAGTACATTGAATGCAGGTGCAAATTTTAATAGGGTTCTTGCAGATGTTGTTGAACAGCTTTGAAAAAGAATGACACTGTCCTATGCTTCAGGGGTAGCATGGGAGGAGGATGCAAAAGGGAAGTGGGATTGACAAGAGAATCCTCGAAGTACAAGAGTTACTTTAGAGTATTTAAGGCCAAATCATGGCCTCATTTATGTTGCCATGAAGATTGTTTCTCTCCTAATTGAACTATTTTTGAATAAATCTATTGCTGAACTGTGTAAAGAAAGGACACTTTAAAATGATTGTTTACAAGGAAAAGAGAGAGGGATATCACAATGATGTACTTGTATATTTTTTTAAAGTTCTAACAGAGATTGGATAGTTCAGGCAATTGGTAATGGAATGTGAATCTGAATTAACACCGTTGTACTTCTTCAGGAATTCAGTGTAATTCTTACTTGAGTGTCCATCAATAAGTATATACGCATGTATGGGGGGGAGGGATAGCTCAGTGGTTTGAGCATTGGCCTGCTAAACCCAGGGTTGTGAGTTCAATCCTTGAGGGGGCCATTTAGGGATCTGGGGCAAAAATCTGTCTGGGGATTGGTCCTGCTTTGAGCAGGGGGTTGGAAGGGACCTCCTGAGGTCCCTTCCAACCCTGATATTCTATGATTCTATGTACGGTTGCCCAAAAGACCACTAAAATCTAAATGTTTTCCCTCCAGTAAATATGAAATGCTGGTTAGAGGACTCCTATCATATATTAATGGTGCACGGTGGTGTTCACAATTTTCTCATGAGGACATTTACTTGATTTTTTTTTTCTCCCAGCGATAAGAGGCTTATAGCTGAAGGTCCTGGCGAAACAGTGTTAGCTGCAGAGGAAGAAGCTGCCCGTGTGGCACTGCGGAAACTGTATGGATTCACTGAGAACAGGCAACCGTGGGACTACTCTAAACCAAGAGAGGGATGGAGAGCAGAAAAGGCTATTAGCAACACTTAGACAACTAAGCCTACTTCTTCTCTCTATCCACAAAAGCCATGTTCTCCATGCTAAGTATAAATGTGTTTTCAGAAAAGCAAACTTCAGCAATTCAGCTCTTTGGTATAAAGGATATGTTTTGAAAATTCCAGCCATCCATATACGTTTAGAATTCTCCAAACTTGAATAGATTTATTTCCTTCTGTAAAATGTTTCCTATTATAAAGTAACTGAGGAAAATGTGATATTTCTTGTCAGTAACAAAGCAGGAGGGTTTTCCCCACTGAGTTCCCACTATTTGTCTAAGAACTTGATTATATGTCCAAGCACATAACTCTTAAGAATGTATTGTAATCTGTGACTGTCCTTTTTTTTTTTTTTTTAAGCAAACTGTCTCCGTATAGGAAAAAAACTTATGTACAGGTATCTGGACCAGTTTTGAGAGTATTAACAACAAATTAGCATTGAATTAAAAATGTAACATTAGCATGAGACGTGCATCTGAAGTCAGTTGGCCTTGAGTTGTGGTAAAATCCACAGATCAGAATACAGGATATGCTCTGACATCAGTTGCGTACACTGATGCTGTTAAGGCCTTACCAACAGTTTGCTTGCTAATTTGGTAATTTATTGTTCATTTGCCGTAGACATTTGCCATTTGTTTCTAGACACTGAAAGAGAGCGTATTCTTAATTAGAAAAAATTGTGTTTGGAGTGACAGGGAGGAAAGAGCTTAAGTTTCTACATGATATAAAAGTAAATCAACAGAGTACCTTCTTTTCTTGTTGGCCTGGTGACTGCTAATATTAGGTTGACAAAAGATCTTGGTGCTTCATATTCGCTAACTTTTTGTTTCACCCATCCAATAGACTTCACCCCTTCTTTTGAACGGCTCAGACTGAACAGTTTTCTAGGCCTGCACAATATTGGATTATATGAAAATCTATTTGCCTTTGCACCACCCCTTTCTAACACTCAAAACATTTGGCTCAAAAAGCTGCTTTAATGAGGATGCTACTATATCATTACATGCTCAATACAGTCTGATGGTTTAGCAGTGGGTACTGGTGATCATACAGAAAATAACTTTTTTTCCGTTTGACATTCAAAATCTGTTGTGTGCAGTTGAATCTCTGAAAGTTTGCATCTGTACATTCCCAATGTGAATAAAAGATTTGCATCTGGAATTCATTTTAGTCTAACTCGTCTTTATCAAATAAGTCTGTGATTACCTACAGTTTGGAACAGGGGTAGTCAGGCAGGACTAGATAACTCAGGTTTGGTTTTGTGATATGGAGCTTTTCATCTCAGTCACCAGTAAGACTCCACTCCAGGTAAAATGGTCATTTATGGCCAAAATCTGATCTATGCATGAAACTCCCATAAAAGGAGAGAACCAGCATAGTGGTGTTGGTGGAGGGAGTCTGAATGTGTGGGAAATTCAGAGGATAGTTCACTGGTGCTCCCTTGCCTGATACCATGCTGATGGTACTTGAGAAATGCATTCATTAGGTGAATCTACTTGAGCAGTTATGGGTGGCTGTGCTGCCTGACGGAGGGGGCAAGTAGCCATATGTATCTGCTGGCCAAAACCCCAGTGTAGGGTGGGGGAGCAGTGGCAAAGCAGGTACAAAATCCTCCACCGTCCTGAGATTGCAGTAGTGACTGTGAAACAGCTCTATAGCCTGGGCATGAGAATTCCATCCCACAATATCCACGGAGCTCCCTAGTCAAGTCCTACTGACCAGGGCTGTTTTTCAGAGATGAAGGTTTGGCCCTAAGATATAATAAAACTGTAGCCTAGTTAGTCAATTCAAAGAAAGCCACAAATCTGTCATTGTTCTGACATGTATCTCTGCACATGTGAAACGCTTGCGAGTAGATAAGTGTAGTCTTTCTGCTTGCTTCTAGTGCTGCAATTTACATATGTGGAAAAAATAGTTTCTGACTAAAATGCACAGCATCATGGTCAATATAGCTTGTAATGAGAGTAATAAGATATGGGCTCAGGAAGGTCTGGTTGCCTACCTTAGGTTTATCTGAAAAATTACAGCTAAAGAAAATGCTGCTCTCACTATGACAAACTTGAGGTCCACTGAAAAAGAATAGACATCTACCCACAATGCAGCACTCCATTCAGAATGTATGATAGCATCTGAAAAGAGGAAACTAGTTCATGCTTCTATTTTTCAATTGTGCAGTATTTCTGTTTTAAAAGGACTCTCAGAATTTTTACCCCCAAAAGGTGGGTGGGGGTGTGTGGGTGTGTGTAAAAGAAAACATTTTGCCAGCAGATTGGCTTTTAAAAAGAACTGCATGAAGCTACTCCACAGTTCAGAAAATTGGAATGTCATAGTAGAAATGAGTTTGGAGGGTGAGTGCAGGTGGAAAATGAATGGTGCGGGGTATATTGAATTTATTGTGTAATAAGTATGTGGAATTGCTCCAGTCAGAAGCCTGGATTTATGAGTAAAAGACAGTTTGGGAACAGATGAAGTGAAATGGAGACAGAATTAAGGAAGGAAGGAAGCAGAGGATTTAAGGAATGAAACAAACAAAATGAAGATATTAAAGCAAGAACGTTTCAATTGGCTTTGCAGTGTTTCATGTGCCACATGTGTATGTCTTTTTCAAACAACCTGGTGAAGTGAGGCTTCCTTTACTCTTCAGAAAAACAGTTACACTGATCTGAGATGTAGGGTAAGCAATTTTTAGCCCTGGACCAGTGATGGTTTAAGGCAGGGATAGGCAACCTATTGCACGTGTGCCGAAGGCAGCATGCGAGCTGATTTTCAGTGGCACTCACACTGCCCAGGTCCTGGCCACCGGTCCGGGGGCTCTGCACTTTAGTTTAATTTTAAATGAAGTTTCTTAAACATTTAAAAAACCTTATTTACTTTACATACAACAATAGGTTCGTTATATATTATAGACTTATAGAAAGAGACCTTCTAAAAACGTTAAAATATTACTGGCACGTGAAACCTTAAATTAGAGTGAATAAATGAAGACTCGGCACACCACTTCTGAAAAGTTGCCGACCCCTGGTTTAAGGTGAGAACTAACATTGTAAGAGTTAGGCCATTGGAAAGCCAGGGAAGCCTAAGTTTCCAACAGGTTATTGTTTCTAGCTCTGGAAGATCCCGAGATGATGTACTTTAAAACTAACATTATTATGTCTAGAAAGGCTGCTCTGGTAATTGAGGTTTCCAAAATGTTATTTTTCTTTTCCTCTGAGACAGTAGGACTCATACGCCGGATCCAGTTCCTATTCAGGTTAATAGGAGTCTTTCCATTCATTTAGACAGAAGTTGGGTAGGACCCAGGGTATATACAGAATACCCAGTGGTGGTGTGTGTTTTTTTTTTTTAAAGATTTCATTGGTTTTATGAGTTTGTCATAATTTGCAGTAACTCAGGTCTAGTAAAAGCTATCCCAAACTCATGTTAATAAAAGCTTAAGCCCACACCACCCCATTATGTATTATTTCACAGGTAGCTAATGTTTGGAAAGCAAGAGCTTTACATTCCCCGCCCCCCTTTTCAAATCAAATGTTACAATGCTGTATTATGTGGGTCAATAGCTCAGCACCCAAAATAACCCTGTCATAACAGACTAGAGTGTGAATATATGATGACTGAAAAGAGGGTTTCTGGTTAAAAAAAAAATTAGTTTTCAGCTTCCAAGAGTCTGAGCTAGACTGCAATTCAGCAAAGCAGTTAAGCACATACCTAATGTATTTAGTTTAGTGGGACTAGCATGTGCTTAAATGCTTTATAGGACTGGGATAATTCACATGCTTTAAATTAATCATATGCTTAAGTGTTTTGCTGAAATCAGGCCATAACAAATATCTAGGGGGAAATATCTTTAAAACACTTTTTCAAAAGACCCTTGTCAGTTTCTACAGAGTCTGATAAAAATGCTCATTTCCTCTGAAAATGGAGATTACAGGAGTGATTGTGCATGACTGAAGTCAGTGGGAATTTTGCCACTGGCTTCCATGGGTGCAGGATTACTTCCATGGGTGGAAGGAGCCATGTAACTAGCTGGCAAAAATTCTGATTGCATATATTCAGCACAACTGCATAGCTCGCATTCAGCCAATGTATCCTCCCTCATATAATTTCTCATGGGACAGGCCGAGAAGATAGTAAATCAAGCAGCTTCTAAAACGTATATGTCACTTTAAAAAAATCAATACAGTCCATTACTGCAATCCAATTCCATTATCACTGATGTTCATTGTGGAAATTATCATGGCCACTAAATTAACTTGGCATGAACTAAGGATGTGTTAGATACTTAGCACTCACGGAAATATATAATCTGTTAAAATCACCTAATTAGTCAACTTGTTACATTTTTCTTTATACTGCACTTTCTTAACTCTTTCAAACCTCGCATTTAGTAAGGATTATAATACAGTTACAATTAATACATCAGGTCACAGTAATAATTTCTTGTATACATAACCTGCAATATTCAGTGTCATCTCTATTTTAACAATCAAATTTGCCTAAAGCACATTATTCTGTGTTGGTTCTTTTCCAGTTTCTTTAATAAATAATACCCTGCCTTGAACTTTCTATTGATATTTAACATGCAAATATACATTAGTGTGGATTTAAGTCAATTTATAAATATATAAAGTGGATTGAATATCAGTGGTGAAATCTTGACTCCACTGAAGTCAGTAGGGAGTTTTGCTGTTTGGAATCAGAAATTCATCCCTAAGATCAAATATTCTGATTGTGATTCATCTCTCCTTATATGTAACCATGAGAACTCTCCTTCCTTTCTCTCACCATATTATTAAGCTGACTTTATTTTAAAAAAGGGAAGATACTTTCTCTTGTATTGAAGTCCTGGCTGGGCATCTAAAATGAATAAATTGCTGTTGCACACAGTACTTTGTGCACTTTTAACAAGTTATGTCTGATCTCAAGAGTTGCTGGTGCTGCACCTTAAACCATTCATTATCACAACCTCTGCTCTGTACATACCCCTATTCTGAAGATGCAACTTGCTCTGATTTTGGCAGCCAAAGACATTGCCACTGCAAGGAGCACCAATAAATCACAGAAACAATAAATAAAAGGGTCACTACTTTTCATTTTGAATTTTCTAATTTTATAGAATAAAAAAGTCAAAATTAAATCTTTTGTCAAAACACTTTTTTAAAAAAAAATTGGAGAGTTTCAAAATTGGGTTTTGTTCTGATTTGGAATGAAACTAAATTTCAAAATCTGTCGCAAAATGGAATTTCTGTCCTCTACAGAGCTAGTTTTGAAGTTTAAAAAATGCTAGCATGATTTATGGGGCCAACTGTTTGATAGCTGATATTTTCTTTAAAGCCCCAGCTCCTGGAGTCAAGTGATTACATGGGAATTTCAGCCTTCGTTCTTTTAAAATGTAAATTTCCAGCTTTTGTGGTTTCAGAGAAAACTTGAAAATGTGAACTCAAAAGGTTAAAAAAAACATTTTTTAATTTTAAAAATCCCTTACGATTTTTAAGACAGTCTTCTGATTTATTTTTTATGCCTGAGTCCTGAACACTTGGAGCTGGTAATATAGTAAGAAGTTCCGCTCATTAAACAAGCGTGATGAAGTCAATGCTTTCTTCCTGCCTAACATAGATAACTGCTATTGCCCTCAGTTTAGTCTTACCTCCTCGGTCTCAGTCCATTTTATCGGTTCTAAAAAGCAGTTTCATAGGCTAACACGGGTCGGCAACCTCGGGCACGCGGCTCGCCAGGGTAAGCACCCTGGCGGGCCGGGCCAGTTTGTTTACCTGCC